GTCCCTTCTACTTTAATGGAGAATACGATTTTCTCAACATGATTGACGATTGCATTGAATGCGAAAAGAATGTTTGCAGAGTAAAGAACGAAACCTGCAATGACACAGAAATGACAACTCTTGCCCTCGCTTACCGATTGTGTGATAGATATAAAACTAAACCGGAGCCACTGTATCTGTGGAGGAATGGATACATACGTAAATCAATAAATGGAGAAGAGTTCCAAACTATCATGAAAAGACTGATGCCCTTATGTGAACAGGACTCGGCGATCACCAGAAAATCAATTGGATACGAACCTTTCAGAAATTTTTCAAGATGTGACGGGGACGTGTTTCAACAGTTCTATTCTCATCCAAACCGAATATGCATTACCTTCAACAGTTTGCGACACAAAGACATTTTTGAGGACAATGTTGTTTCAACTATGCCCATGGCTGAAACAGTTCCAAGTGATAATCCCATCTGGTCTTTTGATAACATGATGAGTTTCAGAGGCGGTTTGAACACCACACCCATATACGGCCTCACCGAATACATAGCACTAATGACTAAACCCGAGGAAAAAAATATGTGTAGCAGCGTGAAAGAAGAACTATTTTCTATAATCGTTCACAGTCCAAACGAAGTACCAGTGGATACAACTTCCAACAGAGAAATAACTATTCCGAAGAACGTCGGCGTTGAAATTTCCCTAGTTCCCAAGATAACTTTGGCGAGAGACTTGGAGGAACTTCCGCCGCAACAGCGCGGCTGTTATTTTTCTCACGAGAACAAACTGGTGATGTTTAAACACTACACGAAGAACAACTGCGATCTCGAGTGCCTTTTGAACGGTTACCTGAGCTCTTGCGGATGTGTCCCTCACCATTACCCGAGACAAAACAGTTCGGTGGAAGTTTGTCTCGTGTTCTGTCTGAAGCCCGTGGTAAAGTGTGAATGCCTCCCTGATTGTAATTCTTTTGACTACGACGTGAGAACGCAGGATTCGCCGATCACAGGGTTGAAGGTCTTCAACATAGACATCGTGAGGTCATTGGAGGTCAGGTTCAAGGGGAACAAGTATTACACCAATGTTCGCTACAGCATCACCAGCAACGCCGAGTTCCTGGCCTACACCCTCGGCGTGCTGGGGGCGTTCCTAGGGGTTAGTGTCACTTGTGCATGGAACCTGGTGTACTTGGGCATCGCAAGACTGTGCAAATACGTCACAGGACCGTGGAAAAGATCTGTATCTCCCATTTGAGTTGCCAGAATAAAATAACAAGTTGTATTTGTATAGTATTTATTTTACATGTTTAAAATACTCTCTTTTCCTTTGTATTTCTTAATCATATATGAGGTTTAAAAAATGATTTGATTTGAATATATTCTTATTATTTACAATGGCCTGTAACTGAACCATTTAAACGCCGGCGTCATCTATTTGACGAGAAAATATTTACAGAAATGGATTGGATGTCAGTTTGGGCGATGAAAAAGATTGTTTTGATCCCACGAGCAGTAAATGTTAACATTCGAAAAATACGTCCTTATAAAATGGAGTAAACCAGCATTGCAGGTATTGCTAGATGATATTCATATTCTTTGAATTAAATGAGTGCTTTGAGTCAATACCTCATCATAGCGATTTTATTAGTTTCATAATATTAGTAGGCTATTTGTTCATGTGGCTGTTTCGTAAGTCTTCAGTTGTTTGAATAAATATATATTTGTAGTAATCAAAAACCACAAAAGAAACAATTCACTATGAATGCATTTTGTTAAGCATTTTATGGCAACTCTTCAACTAACTAAATATTCTAATTTATTTTGCATCCAAAAGCTAAATTTCTAGCAGCAACACTCTGTGAAATGTAATACAAAACCGACTCCACTTAAAAAACCCCTAACTTATGTGTGTAGCCAGCCTATCGGTTACCAAAGAGGTGCAGACAAACTTTATATGGTTTTAGCCCATGATTTTAAGACGTATTTTATATCCGTGTTTTCTAATACAACTAATTAATATTTCGTGCAGCATTCTATGTTAAACAATCTTATTACTTACGTCCTTTCAACAATTGGACATTCATCTTCTGACGATAGTTAAAATAGGATCCGCGCATAAGGTTTTGTCTCAAACAAAAATAACACAGGCCGTACACATTTGTCAGAGGCAAGTCCGCGGCTTTGCTCATAAGAAGCAACATAAACACTCAAGCACTCAAGCACTGAAATACCGAAACACCTACACTCAAGTGTCGTGATAGTTGTACACTGTTTCCACAATTATCACCGAATGTTCGCACACTATAAAATCGTACAACGTAACCAAACACATTTTACTTCATTGCAAATTTAGTTTTTTACTTTCTTAAATCAGCAACCAACGGAAAACGACACACGTGCGACTAGGAAGTGAACGCCCCAAAGTCGTTTAGCGATCTAATCAAATCACCGGTATATCGAACTGGCGATCGATAGTGTTCACGCTGATTATCGCATACAAAGCTTCACATCAATCGTCGAGACACATCAGTTGGTAATGGTGTGAGTCACTTTTGTGATGGATGTATCACCGTGCATCACCGCCATCGCTGTCAGGGTATCCAAAGCTTGTTCACAACAATCACTTTGAGAGTTATGCACTTGAGTTGGTGGTTTGAAAACCTTTGGTCAGAAAATAGTAGCTTTACATGTGTTTCGTAAGTTTTTTGACATCTTATTTACCGAAAAATAGAAATAGACCTATACTGTTTGAAAATTTTTAGAATCAACAAAATGTGTAAGTAGTCTCCTATTATAGTGGGCATTTTTTCTGATATTGCATACTTTCTATAATAAATTATGCATAAAATAATAAAACGTATGCTTAGTTTTACAAACAATTTTTTAATAACTATTGTAATCAGGCATACAGAAGGCTTAACTATTCATTTACCTTAGAATCGCAAAAACGAAGTGTAAACATCATGTAGTTTTCGTTTTGTGAACGGAGACCAATCGCTATTTACTTTAAAAAATCAATGTATCAAAATCATACTTTTATCCCCCACGACGATCTTTTATGGGTTGTTTCTTTGTTAGATTTAAACTAAGTTGGTACAATGGCTACTGTGTTATGGAAATATAGATAGACACCTATATACATAATACAATAATGGGGTTCTCTGTTACATCCCTTTTCCAGCCGTTCTACGTAACCGATTTTCACGATTGAGGTGTCCTTAAAAGCTTTTGATCCTGCGCACCTGCGAATGGTATGAAACAGGTAATTTACTCTAGGGCTTCGTATCCCTCAGAGAGTCATTGTAAAACTATTGTAAAGCTCTATTCAACTAATAACTAAAAAAATATAATCATAAAAAATGTTAATGGGTGTTGCACTGAATTTATTTGCCTTGGAAACAAGCTTTGGTCTGTATGAAACTGCGCAATCTGCGCACGGGTCCGCTTGTCTATTCTTAATGCAATAAGGGTTTTCGCTGTTACATCCCTATTGCGGCCGTCCTATCATGTTACAGACTTTTACGTTTGAGTTATCATTTAAAGCTTACGATCCAACGGAGTGACGAATGACAAATAAATATGTCCTTTAGAACTCTCCCCCCCACCCTAAAGTTTGATTTATTCTAGAGTTCACTTTCAAAGATTCGATGATGCTAACCAACCTTCTTTATAACGGGTTAGGTGAATTTTAATTTAACAGCTGATTTCTCAGATGAATGTTTAGCTACAGTCAGATTTTAGAATAGAGGCAAACCAGATTATGAAAACGGATATCAAATAGGTAACTTTTTCACCTAAATGAGTTTGCTAAATAACTATTATAAAAAATGTTAATGGGTTTGAACAAGGCCCCACTAGAAAAACGTTTTCATCACTCTTCGCCGAAAGTAACTATTTTCGATAACAGCTGTCTCCAATGAAAGTAGCTGTTTCCCAAGCTCTAATTTAGGGCGAGGGAAAATCGATCAGCTGATTTTCCCTCGCTCTAAATTTACTTTCCCTCGCTCTCGATTAGTTATCTATTAACTCACTACGCGCGCTAGTGTTTTGTTACGGTTTAATTTAATAATTTGAAACAGCTGTTTTTATTGTTGAACAATCTAAATCTATACAGAAACGGGCATTAGTTTGATTTGCTGTGTTTTTAACATAGTGCATGTTTTAAATTGCTCAAAGTATGTCTAACATTATTGATGATTTGATAAAAACAACTTAACTTATCACATTTCACCGGATAAATCACCGGAAGGATAAGAAGAGGAATACAGAAAGCTTGGACACTGGTACAAATTACAAATTGTTAAGTTAATTAACGTAAGTGACGAAGTATTTATTAATACACTTATCTAAATAATTAAAATTATGAAGCCATATATTTAAGTTGTGAAGTGTATTTTCAATGAAAAAGAGTTGTCTAATAATGCTACTGAGATATGTTATTCTGCATCTGTGTATTTTTGCGTCGTGATGAAAAGTATCGTTCATAACTCGTACCAAAAGCATTTTTCCGACACTTGCTCCAATATTCCCGTCCTCGGCTTTGCCTCACACGTGAAATTTGGGTTTCCTGTGTTCGGCTTTGCCTCACACATCAAACTTGAGCCCGTGTCGGAAAATGCCGCTTTCGGTTCTAGTAATGAAATATACTATTTTTCAAGTGGGGCCTTGGTTTGAACTGAGCTCATTTGCCTTGGAAACAAGCTTTGGACTGTATTAAACTGTGCTATCCCTTTAAGTGTGGGTGTAAATTTAACTATTTTATTTTGTTGCGAGTTATTAGTCGTATTCACACAATAATTGTCTCAAGCACACATAATCTTTGAAATTGAAATATATAATTGTTTTGCATTATTGCTATGAACCCAATTAAAATGCGCATTTTGCGCACTGGCCCCTCGAATTACCTATTATTAGTCCGAAGAAATGAGTATTTACCGGTCGCATGGTTCCAACGCGAGACGCTCTGAATCATACCAAATGAATTTTGTCCTTCGTAAGTTACACTGACCGTTAGGTACTTGTCGTGTCTCGTTGGTCCTTTTAGACACGGACACCTGCAGAGCCCTGGCGAGGATCTCGAACTTCTGCTTGTGATGGGGCGGAGTCCCTTCGCCATCCGGGGACTCTGGGCTGGACCCCTCGTCCTGGGAGAAGTCCATCTTCTTAGTCTTCTGGGAACATAATAGCAAAAGGTGAACAAATAACAAAGATATTGATTTCAGTAGTGAAAGGAAAACTATCGCAGATGTAATTTCTTTCAATCCAATATGTTTTGTGAAATCCAGCCTGAAATATATAGTTGATTTGTGATAAGCAATTTTAAGTAGTACAGGAACTTGTAATATTATTAGATAATAATTGGTAATGCTATAAGATATTTTAAGACAATTTGCGTATTATAATTATTTGAGGGATGAGAATGTCCCAACTATGAATAGTAAGCTTGAAATTAATTAATTTCTGGAATCAGATCAGGTTTATGTCTGTTTTAGGCTGAAGTCCGGGATTTTTCTTCACAAAACCTCTGGCTAGACCTTGAGGCTACAGCATTAGAACTTGTACACTATAGCCAGAATCACTTTAATACAGGCAAAGTGCCACAACTGTCTACAATTTTACCATAGACAAACACGAACAAAATTGTAGTAGGTTAATAACATGATTTATCCGGCAACGACATACAGAGTGCGCATATGAGGCTAAGACGAAGAAGGAATGAGCGTTGAAAGAATGGATTATACAGTAACTTCATTAATGACTAAGATAAACTGTTTCATTAGCCAAGAACGTGTATTTAAAGCCCAATGAGCAAGGGGGGGGGGTTGATCCAGTTTTAAATCACTAATCATCAGTCTTATGACTTTTCTCAGGATTGAACCACCAAAATTCTGATTATTTAGAGCACTATAACAGGAAGTGTTTAGTATCTACTGTTCACTTCGTTATCTTGCAAGATATTTAGGCCTAAATGTTGTTATTTGAATTAATGGATTGGTCGTAAGAATTGATAAATAAATCGCATCAAGGTTACAAGAATAATACAATTGTAATTTCAAGGTGATTTTATGTTTTAAACATAATACATTCCCTTTATTCACTGAAGACGACATAAAGTTAAGTGTCATACTGTTCACAAGTGTAAACAGTTGGACTCGTGTTACAGTGATCGCAATGCTCCATTATCCCATTACAATAGTTTAACCACTAGAGCGCCTTCACTACCCAGTCTGGGACGATCAACAGATGTTTTGTCACGAGTTCATGTCACGCAGGTCTGCGATCACGTCAGAACCTTCTCTGAAACACTTTGTCACCAGTGTCTGTTCTCTTGAAATTGTACCGTCAACCTCTTCAATCATTTATGTCGATTGTCGAGAGTTCAATCTATATAGTGTAGTTTGTATTAGATCAGTTTTACATGGAGAGTATCTTAGTCAATAAATCGCTTTTTATTTTGAAATTAAATGCACAATTAGGTACTAAATACTATGGTGTATCATATCTGCTTTGCTTGTCACGAAACTTTAAGCGCTCTAAAACAAGGTGGTTGTTTTCAGAAAATATTATCTTATTTTTTAACCATAAGTTTTACATTTCTTGAAAATTTTTCTTAACTGAATATGATTCCAGCAGAACAAAACAGTGATCTTACTAAAACTGGAACCAATCTTAAACACAAAAATAAGAGCTGCGAAACGCACGGTCATCTCAGTTTAGAAACCTTTACAAGAATTTTCTTGTTTTAGTAGAAACCAATTCAGCTTTGCTGTACGCCAATTACCAATTACAATTGCCTGTAGTTACCAATTCACGTGTTTAAATCGTCATTCCTGGACCAAACAAAAACTCAAACATTACGTTACGAATTTCCACAACTCAAAAGTTTACCCGCACTGGTTCAATTTTTCCACAACACTTTGTTAATTAATACTATATACTATATCAAATACGAAATAGTATTGCGAAGCATCAAAATGGCGGCTGTTCGAGTAACTCTTAAGTTTTGGAAATATTTATCGTTACATTTTATAGTTTTAAGGTTTGTCTTTGGCTCAGGAATGATACATTTAATATCGGTTGGGTTCGGGAATACCATTTATACCTTCACCAAAATCCATACTAAGACAAATGTATAACCCAAAATGTTGTTGATGAACATAATTTATTCTACAAATAGCAATTTATTCTTAAACACAACTCCCAAGGACACAGACTGGCGGTGCTGGGTGTAAGTAGGTGACGGATCAATCTGTAGAGCTAAAGCCATCAACCCTATCCACCCCTACTCCAACTCTGTCTCAGTAAGCCATTCAAGAATAGTACATATTTAAACCAGAAGGTTTTTCCATAAAAATGTTGTCGTTAATTAGTTTTGCTTCCAGTGAGGGAACAGAGAATAACCTGACAACCTCCAATCGTTACTGGTAGATTCTATGAGCCATTGGTGTTATAAAATTAATTAGTCGTCCCAGCTAAAAAGTCAGTAACAAACATAAGAAAAATTATATCACCGATCCCACACTCATAAATAATTTTATATTCTGGTTAAACTATATCACTTATAAGACAAACTATTTAAGTTAACATTATTACAAAGATTATATTAAATAACGTAAAACAGTAAAAACCATGTCCCTTCTATCATATTATATCCTATACATGTTCCTATCAGGAATCTCGAATAGACTACTCTGGATCCAAAAATCCGATTTCGATTGAATTTCAGGAACATATTATGCAATCCAATAACTCCTCCTTCAATCGGTTCGAAACCCCCGTATGAGATCAGGCTTTTTGTTACAACTAGTGTTTAACAAAATGACCGTCAACCGGAGTTCAAAATATACAATTCAGTACAATGTTACATTGCTGTCTCACCCTTATTGTTTGGGGTTAGGAAACAACCATCCTCCCTATACAAGACAAAATAGTAAACAAATTAAAAATGTAAAATAATAGGTTGGTAATGAAATAATAAATAGTGTATAAAATAATAATTTGCACACGTTACATAATCAAATCATAACATTTCCCGAAAATTAAAGACTACTGTTATGAAAACATTGCACTGATTTTAGCACGAAAAATAGCTATGCCTAATTGTTGCATTTACTTACTTTTGTGCACTCATTTTTTGTCGCACTCCAGCATTCCAACCAAACAACACAAAACAGTGTGCTTTTATAAGGCACGTAAGTGAGACGTGAATACGTGAACACTTGAAAATAAGTTGGCAACACATACTACGACTACGATCAGCTGGTGCAACGTTTCCCGTTTCGTTCAACGTTAACGTAAGGATTTAACCTAACCTAAAAACGCGTTGTATAGTGTTTGAAAGACTTTATATGCTTTATTTATATGATTTTTAGTAACATTTAGGAAAAATATAATGTGTAGCACGAGTGCAAAGTGTCTTTGCTACACACTAGTTAGAAAAAAAAAAACTGTAGCCAAAGGCAGATTTCAGGAAGTGTTTAATAAATCCGTTTGAATTTGCTACCCGTATTCTAGTATACTAAATAAATCGTTACTAGACCTATAGTTTGTTGTGAAAGTGTGACGGCACTGGGTAGGCAATCGAGGTACACAAGGTAGGCAGCCCAGCCGGTCTGACACAGGACTTGCTACGGTTTATAGAAACGATGTAAAGAAGTAAAGAAATACGTCGTTCTGTCAAGAAGTAAAATAATTATTTTTTGTTAACTTCCATTCTCCCCTTTAAAAACCTGTCTTAATATTTATGATGAATTTTCGCCATAAATAGAAAGGGGTATGTTTAGCAATCAACCTCCAACAATCAGCCAATGTTCAGTCTATGGTTCGTATTTTAGTGTATTTTACACAATATTATGCAGGCACAATATTAAAGTGCCAACAGCCATATGTGTGAAAATATTTGTGCCATTGTACAGTTGTAATAAAATAGAATACCAAGAACCTGTATCAGTTTGGTCGTGGGAACTACAGTCCCATTATCAGAGGGTGCCGTCAGGGGCGCACGAAACATGCATAGAGGCCACTCCTGATACTGGCTGAGTTTATATGGCATGTTAAACAAAATATACTAGTTCAGTGCTTAATTTAATACCCTTATAAACATTTCTGAATATTAAAAAAAGTATTGACTGTATTCTAGTATCATAACCACAGAGTAGCCTAAAGCATAAGTTATAACCTCTTCCATAAAATAAATAGAGAAACATTCAGTCGACTAGTGCACGACGACTAGTACAAATCTTCTGACTATTGTCAGGATCGAACCGGCAACTTTTGATTACTAGATGAGCATCATAACCACTCAGATACCAAGGCCACACTAAAAAACAGGGTTTAGTGTGGCCTTGCAGATACCCAGCTACAGAGAGGAAAACGTCAATATTTACTTTACAAAGTCACACATGTTTGAAAGCCCTTAACCACTGAATACAGCAAAATCTAGAAATAAACCTGACATAATCCTGGGTCTAGATTGTCTTTGTGCGAAATTTCAGTCATCTAATCCTATGACTTTTCGAGATGAAAATGGGCAAATACGGCCTATTCTTATAGAGTTATAACAGCAAAGAGTGAATTGATAGATTCACTGCAGGTACTAGAAGTAGTGTAACAAGAGCGAAACTTGCCTATGAGTGATGACTAATTTGTGACGCCTCAAGATGGCGTCTTGTTTGGTCAATATTCAATAGAGGGTGCAATTACGGTAGACACGGAACACAAACACGTGAGGGTGACAGGGGGAACACAACACAATGTTATACTTGCTTACAACTCTAAGAGCCACTTGGATCTATATTTACTTTAGAATAATCTGGAAACGAAGTCATGTTTATATAGTTCTCCACTTTGCTTCAGAAGTGATTTAACACGATAGACACATTTGTGTATAACCATTTGCTATAGAAAACATTCTGTAAATTAACTAAGTTTCTACGTTAGAAAATGGCCTTTAAAGGACAAAAAGGTTTTCTTGTTTTGACCTTTGTACGAAATCTATTATATTATTAAAGTGATACATTCAAATTTTATGTAAACGGTTAAGGTCATTTACCAAATAAAAATATAGTCATATGGCATATCAAAATGAAGCTTAGAGTGTGTAGATTTGCCGAAAAGTATTGATATGGACGAACTCCCTAAGGTCTCTGCCCCACAGGCTGATTTCCAAAGG